ACTACGGAAGCAGAGGCAGGTGGATCTCTGAGTTCAAGGCCAGCCTGCTCTACAGAACAAGTTCCAGGACAGTTAGGGCTACACAGAGAAACCCCATCTGGAAAAACAAACAAAACCCAAAAAACCAATATCTGAGGTTTCTAAAATGTTACAGAGCAATGATGCTGTTGTCTGTGACATTTCCAAAGACAATTGCTTCTATTCCTAATTGGCTTTTTTAGGGGTAATTTTTCAAGTCGACTGAGCCTCTGCAAGCAGCCACCTTCTATGTAATGACACTGCAGTTTGGTTTTTGTCCGATGCTCTAGGCCCTCCACACCACCCAAGCCAATGCCCATGATAACGGTCAGGGGCAGTGACTGCTTCAATCTGAATCCGTCACCAGAGCCTGGGACAGTCAGTCTTGAACCCACTTCTCCTGGACTTGGCAGCAGCATCTGAGCCCACAGGGAAGCAACAGTGCTGCCATGTTGGGGCCACCATCTCAGATGGACCAGAGCCTGCTTTGTTAACCCTTGTGTTCAACTATTCCATGAAGAATCTGAAGTCACATGACCATGGGAGTTTCTTGTGTTTTTGTTTTGTTTGGTTTTGGTTTTTCATGACAGGGTTTCTCAGTGTAGCCTTGATTGTCCTGGAACTTGCTCTATAGACTAGGCTGGCCTCGTACTCACAGACATCCGCCTGCCTCTGCCTCCCGAGTGCTGGGATTAAAGGCATGTGTGCCACCACCACTGCCTGGCTGGGAGTTTCTTTAAGACCGCTGCTGCCTTGAATTTTCTCCAAACACCATCATTTGATGACATTTGAGTGTCCCTGAGTCTGTGGCACCGCAGCTGGCCCTCACTCTCTGCAGCACATCATTCTCAGGTGGTTTTGGGGAGTCTCTCTCTCTCTCTCTCTCTCGTGCGTGCGTGCGTGCGTGCGTGTGTGTGTGTGTGTGTGTGTGTGTGAGAGAGAGAGAGAGAGAGAGAGAGAGAGCAGGAACATGGGTGCCATGGCGTGCGGCAGTCAGAAGATAACTTTGGGTGTCTGTCACTTGTCCATCTTGTTTGAGGCAGGCTCTTAGTATTCACCTCTGTGTACACCAGACCAGCTTCCAGATTTCTTCTGCCTCTACCTCCCATCTTACATATGCGAGCTTTTATTTGAGTGCTGGGGACTCGAACCCAGGTCTTCTTGCTTGCACAGCAACCACTTACTCACTAGCCACCTCTCTATCTGCACCCCACCCCACTTCATACTTAGGGGTATCCTCCTGCCTCTACCTCCTGAGCATTCTAGCGGGCATATACTGGAACTATAGTTGTGTGCACTATGTCTGACTTCAAGGTCCTTGTTTGTTTGTTTTAAAGAATATTTTCTTTCTTGATGTTGTTTCTGTTTTTTTTTTTTTCTTCCAGACAAGGTTTCTCTGTATAGTCTTGGCTGTTTTGGAACTCACTCTTTAGACCAGGTTGGCCTCAAACTCAGAGCTCCACCTACCTCTGCCTCCCGAGTGCTGGGATTAAAGCCACCACCTGACTTGAAGGATATTTTCTAATTATAGAGATGAATGAGTTCTCTTTTTCTAGGAATGACAACACATTTTCCTTTAAAACGATTTATTGATAAATATTACCAAAGGGTGCAGCTACCAAAACATTAAGTAAAGAAGAAGCAGGACCCAGAAGGTCACAGGTACTCATTTACATTTTCTCTCCACCCCTCCTCCCTCCCCCTTTCTCTCCCTCCCTCTCCCCCTCCCACCCTTCCTCTCTTTTCTTTCTTCCTTCCAAGGTCTCCTGTATCCTCAGTACGTGGCCAAGGCTGGCCTTAAACTCGCATCCCTCTGCCTCTCCTCCCAAGGGCTGGGATGGTAGGCATATGCCATACCAGCTTAAGTGACTTTGATTCCTGGAGGTTTCCATCCTCAGAGAGACCAGACATAGCTGGTTGCCTAGGGCTGGGGGTGGGAGCAGCTGCTTGGTATGAGTCCTTTTGGGGCAGCGTCCTGGGGTGGGGGGAATGAATAAAAACGTTTTGTAACTAGTTGGACATGGTGTTTGCACAAAGACACCCCCACCCCGGCCAGCCCTGGCTCATGGAAACATGGTTACACAGTGCAATGGGGAGTTCACCTCAGTAAATTAAGTCTTAAAAACAACCAAACAAAACAATTTCCTTAAGAAAAAGCATGATTGGCTTTCCAGGCAACTTTGAAGTGAGGTCTGAGAAACTTGGTTAGGCGCTGTGTGCCAGACAGCCTCATGTCCCGGGCATGCAGCCTGTGAATCGAGCCAAGGACCCAAAGAGAAGACCCTCTTCTTGAGCTTGTGTCTTAACCTCTCTAAGGAGGCCTCACTTTCTCCATTTGGAAAATGTGGGCTGCACCTATGTTGTCCCCTAAACAACTGGAGGTTTTATTTTTTTTTGTTTTGGTTTCCAAACAAAGCGTCTCCAGGCAGCTCAGGCTGGCCTTGGCTTCCAGGTTATCATTCCGCCTCAGCCTCACAAACTCTGGGATTCCAGGCATGCAGCCTCACACCTGTCTCTCCTGAGGCTTGTGCCTCACAGGCTGAACCCTCACACAGGAGCCACCGGCCACGCTGGCTGAGTCATGAATAATGAATCTGCCTCTATTCTCCTTCCATCTTCTGGACAACTGTGGGGCGCTTGGCCTCCGTCGTCTCTGAGCTGTATCCCAGGGCTCGTTCAAATGGACCGGGAGTGAGCATGGACTGGCTTTCAGAGTAACTCCCAGCATCCACCTCTTCTCTCTATCCCTGGGTCCTTCCTGCATGGCTCACCTCCTCCCTGTTCTTCTGACTTCAGTCCATCTCCCATGCTCCACGTCTATGCCCCGGAGAGTCCAGTGAGGGATCCTATAGAGTCCCTGGAAATCCCTGCCCTCTTCTGCCCAGAACCTTCCCAAGTCCCCATCTCTTCCATAGGGATAGCTAAAGCTCCTCCCACTCCCATGGAAGGCCCCACGTAATTGTCCCCTCCTCCCCGGGTTTCGTGCGCGGGGGGGGGGGGGGGGGGGGGGGGGGGGGGGTCTTACTGTGGCTCACGGACATCAGACCTTTACCTCAGGGCCCTTGCACTTGCTGTTCTCGCTCCCTGTACCACCCTCTGCCACCTCCTCCTCCTCTTCCCAGGACTCTGTGCAAATGTCACTTGCTCCAGCTTTCTCTGGTCTCCCAGAAGCTGCGGGCCTCCGGAAGTTTCTTCCTTAAGAAACTTCTTGGCTGGGGTCCTGGGCCCAGCCCCGTGACTCAGAACCTAGACACGCTTCCAGGCTTCCTCTAGGTTTGAGCCGTCAGCCGTGGGGGCAGGTGGTGCCCGGCAGTACCTGGCACTGAGGCCCCGGTCTGAGTACTGCTGTGGGAGGCCTCCATGCCCATCCTCCCAGGCTTCCCGCATACAGGTGGGAGGGCACCGCGTCCCCTCCACCCCAGGCTCACCTGACTTCGCTAACTCAGCCTCTCACCTCTGGCTGCCTTGCCCTGAATATGAAGCTGTGGCTCACGTCACGGCTGGCATCCTCTGCTGCTAGCCAATCAGAGAAGCCCAGCCTTCTGCCCCCAGAAGCTGTGCCTCCCTTGGCCTCCAGAGGAACACTGTTGGGCCCAACTGAGAGCCAACTCCAGCCAGAAGGGGGACAAGGGCAATGAGGGAGGTAACAATATACCACGGCCAGGGCGGGCATTTGTGCTGAGATAATGACTGGCCAGCAGCCAGAAGGAGGATCCGAACGCAGCGCCTGAGAACAGGGTGGGGCTTCCAAGGCTGGGAGCAGGGAGTGAGCAGTGGTGTGGGTGGGTCACGTGCCCTGTCCCAGCTCTCCCAGCACCTCCGTTGGATCTTAGGTTCCTGGGTAGGGACCTGCTCCCATCTCCAGGAAAAGCCTCCCCAAGTAAGGCCCTGCCAAGTGGGGGAATCTTCTGTGGAGCAGGCGCCCCTGGTGGAGCCTTAATCACCCCCCCACACCCAGCTCCTAGCTCAGGAAGAGAGTGGTTGACATCTTTTGTACCAAGGAGATGAAGACTTGGAGAGCCATAGGCCTTGTTCCAGGCCACAGACTGAAGTCACATGCTATACCGTTGTGGTCCTGTAGACCAGAGATCTTCCTGCTGTACCACAGAGAAGGGAGCTGACACCAGCAGGATCTGAAGCCTTGCTCCTGTCCCCTCCCCCAGTCCTGGTCGTGCACTAACCTCTACCCCTCCATCACCCACCTCCCCCCACCCTGCCACCCTCCTGTCCACTCGTCTTTCCATTCCCCCTCTGCCTACCCACAAGTCAGATCTTACCATCACTGCCCTTCTGTCTGTCCACCCATCCATCCTTTCTTCTACAGCTTTTTCCTGCTGTCCTGGTTAGACTCGACACAGCCCAGAGTCATCTGAGAAGGAAGCCTCACTTGAGGGATGACCCAGCTCAGAGTGGCCTGTGGGTGTGCTCGTGGGGGACTGACCTGATCTTTAACTGATCTGGAGAGCGCAGCCCACTGTGGGTGGCACCTACCACTGCTAAGCAAGTGGGTCTGTGTGAGATGAGAGCTCACTGAGTGCCAGTCTGCGAGTGAGCCAGTGAGCGGCATTCCTCTGTGGTGTCTGCCTCAAGTTCCGGCCCTGACTTCCCTCAGTGGCTCCCGTAAGTTGCTTTCGGTCCTGCTGTTTAGCACAGTGACAGAAAGGGAGTCAGGACATGTGTCATCCTGTCTAACTTGCCTGCCTGCCATCCGCCTGCCTGTCAATTCAAACGCTGTATCTTTGCTCACCCACCATTTTTCCTTTCAGCCTCCACCCATCCTTCCGTCCACCCAGCGTCTACTCACCTACCTACCATCTCTGTAGTCATCCATCTTCCACCCATCCCTCCATCTCTAAACACACCCACCCACCCGTCAATCCTTCTATACATTCACCCACGCACTGATCCACACATCCATCTGCCCATTGGCCCATCCCTCCTTCTTCCCTCCCTCAGGCGCACACCCCCTACCCACACTTACCCTCCCACCTACCTAGTGTCTCTGAGCTGCTGCGGAACTTTCCCTGGGCTGCTGCAGCGGGAGCTGGGAGAAACGCACCCAATTAGGCTTCTAGTTATTTGTTGTTCCAAGAAGGCTAATTGTGAGGTTTGTAAACAGCCCTTTGATGGTGGAGAGCTACTTAAGAGGACAGTTAAATAATCTGTCCCAGGACACAGTCTGGCTACTCAGCAGGGGGCTGGGGGACTTGAGGAGGGGCAGTGGAGACACAAGCAGAAGGGAAGTCAGCATAAAGAACGGTGGCAGTTACTGCACCCCACCTCCAGGGCCTGGTCACCCCACCTCCAGGGCCTGGTCACCCCACCTCCAGGGCCTGGTCACCCCACCTCCAGGGCCTGGTTGCCTGCCGATCAGACACAGGGCTGAGCCATACCGCAGGGCTTGGAAACACTACCCTACGTGTGCTCTGGTGCAGGGGACTAAGGCACCAAAGAAGGCAGGGGACACTCAGGACTATATGCCTGTGAAATAGTCCAGACACCACACCGAGCTAACCCCGTCTGTGCAAGAACAGCTATGACAGAAATAATTGTGCATACTCACGGTTTACCAGCTACTGCTACGCGCGCCTCTGCACAGTGGGGTTGGCCCCATCACCATCTGAGCTCCATACGTGAGGGCGTCTAGAAGCGAATGGCCATTTGACCAGACTCTAGTGAGTAGATTTTCACAAAATTAAATGTCTGGACACAAGTCTTGCTGTCAATATACTGCCAAGTTTCTGTGCGTTTAGCTAACAAAGGCTTGCTCATATGTGGTTGACCGAGCACTAGAAAAAAATAATTTTTCTCCTTATTTGAATATTTTAAAAAATCCTTTAGCTGGGCAGTGGTGGCGCACACCTTTAATCTCAGCACTCAGGAGGCAGAGGCAGGTGGATCTCTGTGAGTTTGAGACTAGCCTGGTCTACAGAGAGAGTTTCAGGACAAGCTACAAAGCTACAAAGAAACCCTGTCTCGAAAAAACAAAAAGCAAACAAAAAATCCTTTAAACTATAAGTTGATTGTTGGTTTCTTCTGACTTTGTGCAGAGATCACAAAGCTTTTCCCCTGAGGAAGGGACTCTGCCGTGGCTCAGTGAACAGTAGCACTGTCCCCAGACGGTTTATGTTGTGACAATAAAACTTTATTTATGATAGGTGACTGCTGCTGGGGCTTAGGGCTGGAGTCTGCTGATTGCTGACTTAGGCAGTGCACAGCAAACTGTGACAGAAGCAGAGGGGTGGGAGAGAGCGTCACAACGAATGGGAATTGAGTGTGGCCTGGGGACTCAGCTCTGCATCCATAATGCTATTTACTGAGCTGTGTTCCCTGCTCCATGGGAGATCATGAAGCCCTTTTCTCGTAATTTTTAAAAAAATACATTTTCTTATTTGTTTATGTGGGTGTGCATGGGTGTGTATACGTGTGCATCTACTCAAGGCACAACTTTCTCTCCTTCCAGTGGATCCTAGGATTGAATTCAGATCCTCAGGTTGGCAAAGTACTCCTTGACCTGCTGAGGCGGTGTCGCTGGCCCACAGGAAGCCTTCCAGACAGCACACACACCATCTGCCCAACTGGCAGGTTCTGAAGGAATTTGTGAATTCCTTACATTAATGTGATGGTGTGATTTATGTAGCCATTTGTGTGAGAGCATGTGCACACAAGTGCAGGTGCACTTGGAGGCCAGAAGAGGGCGTTGGCTCCCCTGGAGCTGGAGTTACAGTCAGTCCTGGAAACTGAGTTCAGATCCTCTGAAAAGGCAGCGTGTACTCTTACTGCTGAGCCATCTCTGTAGCCTCAGAAAAATAAAAATAAAAAAGATGTTTAAAAATATAAAAACATGTATAAATAAATGAATTTTAGGTGAAAGAATGTTTAAAAGAAAAACAAAGGAATGGAAATCTGCTGAGTGGCTATTGTGTGCCCACACAGGAGTGGGGGAGGAGCGACGAAGCAGCTTCCAGCCTCCTGGGGATGAGATTGTGGGGCAGGCCGGCAACAGAGACAGGCTGACCTTCACAGGAGACGAAGGAACACGAGGACCCAGGAGACGGACTGGGACATAGGTACTGCTGAACTGGGTGGCCAGAAAAGCCTCTCTAAGGTGACATTTGAGCTGAACCCCAAAGGAGGGGAAGGCTCAGGAAAGAACACCCCAGGCACCAGTTCAGCAAATGCAAAGGCCCTGAGGCCCCAATGCTGCGCACACATAGTGCACACAGTGTTCCATAGAGGACGCTGGGATGGCCCGAGTTTTCCTGGAACTCAGGTGACCCTGGGAGGCCCCCAGAACAGAGTGGGGCCAAGTCCAAAAGGGAAGCAAACTGCATGTGTGACCATCAGGGAACAGAACTCAGGATGGGTCAGCAATGGAGGGCTGATCCAGCGTTCGGGAACTTCCGGGGAAGTCAGTGGCCCAGCTGTGATCAGGCACAGATGTGTCCCATCTGTAAGGAATGGGAGTAGGGAACTGGGTGGGGTGCTTGGCAGTCAGTAAAGGTCTGCAAACTGCTGCACTCTCTCTTCAGAGCCCAGCATACAAGTCACCCTTACAGGAAAGCCTCCTAGACCATTCTGAGCTAGCCAGTCAGTTCCTACCACCTGCTCCCCACAGGAACTTCTAATGTTTGCTCCTGTCTCCACGGACAGCAATTCTGTTTATGCCCCTGGAGTGGACACATCAGCGCAGGAGTGACATTCCAGATCAAAGACAGAAGACATAAGGGCTGATGCTGTCCCTGAACTCAGCTTATGAAGTCTGTGCCCCAGGGCCTGGCCTCCGGGACATGTCCAGGCAGAGGGACCAAGTGACATTTCTACCTACTGCCATCACTCCTTTACGCTGAGGTTCCCCGAGGGACGTTAGGGTCAAGCCTGTCCTTAAGAGGCGAAGAGAGGAGAGCGATTAAAAGGTGCCGAGGCCACGAAGCCCTGCCCCAGGGCTTCAGAAAAAAGGGCTCCAGTTAAGCTTTCCTAATATCGGGAAGTCAGTGAAAGTCGAGCCAGCAGCAATGCATGCTGGGAAGAGTTGCTCACCACATCCACCAAGGAAGAGAGACAGGAGTCCTGCAGTCTGCGGAATGAGAGGGCAAAAGAAACGGGGACACGCAGGTTAGGATGAGGGTCAGAGCAAGGGAACGGACATGACAGGAGAGCCACCAGGGCTAGAGCATCAAACAGGAGAGAGACGAAATGGGAGTGGAGGGAAGTGTGTCAAAGTGTGGCCCACGGACCTCCCGGTCACATGAGGCCTCATGCTCACTTACTGCCCACCATAAGCTCCTGGAACCTTTGAGAAGACAAATCCAGACCACCCCAAGGTCACTGCAGGAACCGGCTGGGGCCTAGGTTGGGTGCCTTTACTCTGTGACCATGCTACCACATCAAATGTGAGTGAGGACCTGGGGAAACTGAGGCACTGTGCTAAAGGCCATGCCTGAGGCTTTCCGACTCTATGGGGTAGAGCAAGTTTGTGCCTGGGTGCACAGGTCTGGCCAAGGAACCCTTGGCTGCTTTCCACCCCTTCCCAGAGGCTCCCTCTGATGCCCTTTGACCCACTCAGCTTGTTACCCTGAGCTGTTGTTTCCCATAAATCCCTTCAGGTCTTTTTATTTTTTTTTCAAAACCTCAACTCACAGACAGATTCCACATCATAAGACAGAGTGGCTTTTGGAGACAACGGAGTGCTCTGTACCAAAGGTCACGACTGTCTCAGGTGCGTTTATTGGCACTTAGTTTAAATTGCCCCTCACGTCCCACGAAGGTGGAAGTCTTGAAATTACTTCTCTCTAAATCTGGCGCCGCCCAGGCCCGGAAGCTCTGAGTCGCCTCACATGGAATTATTAATTATGATTTCTTCTGTAATTGTCCACCTGGAGTCCGAGTCGGCAAGTTCTGACGTGCCTGACCTTACAGACGAGAACACGGAGGCTCCTAGAAATCGTTTGCCTTAGCCAGGGAACTGCTGTGTGGCCGTGGGCAAACCCATTTCCTCTCTGGGCTGCTTTCCCGGGTTGCAGGAAGATACGTGGCCCCCACATCCCTGTATCCCGGACCACTTGTGTAATGTGGAAGTGAAAGGTTTTGGGTTTTCTAGGAGGGACGTTTTCTTTATTCTTTCTTCTTTCCTCCAAGACAGGGTCTCACTATGTAGCTATGGTTGTCCTGGAACTCACAGAACTCTGTCTGCCTCTGCCTCCCTAGTGCTGGGATTAAAGGCATGTGCCACCACCGCCCGGCGAACAGGAACATTTTCTAAGCTGTATTTTTAATTTCAAACTTGAAAGTGGGGCTCTGTGGTAACATTACAACTTTAGCTTTAGATGGTCCTGGGGAGGAAGAGAGGTGGGTACGCAGCCATTTTCCATAGGTCAAAGACAGGTCAAGGTCACCTGGAGTCAAAGTCCATTCCGTAGCCTGTTGGGGCACAGTGAAGGGGTAGGTACCACGGAGGGCCCGGGAAGAACCAAGAGTGCTATTTTCATTGTAGTTCATTGGCCAGAGATGGTCACATAGGTCCCAGCTGCAGAGAGAGTTGGGCAATGTAGTCCCTGATTGGGCAGCTAATTAACCTATAGTTAATTACTTCTCTCTGAGACCGTATCTCTCTATGTGTCCCTGGCTGACCTGGAACTCACAGAGGTCCACCTGCCTCTGCCCTCCGGGTGCTGGGGTTAAAGTCGTGTGCCACCACTCCCTGATCACTCTTTTTCTTTAATTGCATTTTATTTATGTGTGTGTGTGTGTGTGTGTGAGAGAGAGAGAGAGAGAGAGAGAGAGAGAGAGAGGCAAGGTGGCCGGTGTCTTATCCGCAGGGCCATCTTGACAGCCTCAGTGTTCTGTTTTTAAATGAATTATGTTTATCAATGAATAAAACAGCACGTGATTTCAACCAGGGACAAGGTTCATGTCAGGTCTGCCATGTGCCGGGGTGTGTGTGTGTGTGTGTGTGTGTGTGTGTGTGTGTGTGGTGTGAGCAAAAGATGGGCAGACAGAAAAGAGCACAGACACACAGATGAGCATCCAGCATCGCCATGCAAGCAGCATAGTTGTTGACCCAAACCTCACTCGAAATGAATGAAGCATCAAGGGGCTGGGAAGGTGGTTCAGGGAGTAGAGCGTATGCTGTGTAAATACAGTCACCTGAACTTAGATCTGCAGTACCTGTATAAATAACAAGGTGTGGTGGCGTTCCCCAGGAGCCCCAGTGCCTGAGATGGGAGAATCCCATAGGCTCCCTGGCTAGATGAGCTAACTGAATCAGATCGCTTTGGGCCACTGAGAGACCCTGACTCAAAAGGTAAGGTGGCGAGTGACCAAGGAAGACAGGTGAGTTTGGTCTCTCAAACACACTCACGCCACACACATGCCACACACATGCGGGAAAGACTCACTGACTCAAAACATGGATAGAAAAAAAAATGTAGGAGCAAATCAACTTCAGGAAGGCTGAGCAAAAAGTTGCTAGATGTGTGTCTAAAGAATGGTAGAGAATGGGGCCATTGGGGCCCTGTAGGCTAGAGACAAGCGGATCCCTAGCGCTTGCTCCTCAGCTGACCTGGCTGAAACCCTGAGCTTCTGTGCCGTGGGAGACCGGGCCTCAAATCGGAGGATGGTGGGGACAGACAAGTGATGTCCTCCACTGTGTCTTCATGTGGCACTCTCAATGCAGATGCAACACACACACACACACACACACACACACACACACACACACTCACACGTGAAGGCAAAACAGATAAATGGCATCGTCAAGATTCAAAGATTCTGTCCTTTGAAAGTCGGGCACTGAGTGCACACCTTTAATCCTGGCACTCAGGAGACAGAGGCAGGCAGATCTCTGAGTTCAAGGACAGCCTGGTCTACATGGAGTGTTACAGGACAGCCAGGACTATCCAGAGAAACCTTGTCACAAAAAAAAAAAAAACAACAACAACAAAAAAAGGCTTCCTACAAAAATGAAAAGTCAGAGGCTGGATGTGGGGCTCCGTGTAGAGTACCAGCCTTACACAAAAACTCGCTAGTTAAAAATAAGTCAGTTGGGTGTTCTGTAGTGCAGGCTGCAGGAAGAGTTCAGTGAGCTCAAGGCCAGCCTGGTCTACACAGAAAGAAACAGAAAGCTGAACACGGTGCTACCAGCTAGTAATCTTAGCCTTGGGGAGGCTGAGGCAGGAAGATCATGCATTCAAAGCCAGCCTAGGCTTCACAGAAAGTTTTAGGCCAATTTGGGCTACCCACTGAGATCCTGTTGCAAACACCCAATCAAATAGGAAGCGAACAAGAGGAAGAGAAGAAGGGAGGGAGTGGTGGGAAAAGGTCCGCCATCCTCGCACCGGAAACTGAGAAGTTACAGTCAGATCGCTGGAACCAGGTATTTGACTGTGTTTCTTTTGTTTGTTTTTTGCTTTTTTTTTTTCAAGACAGGATTTCTCTGTAGCTTTGGAGCCTGTCCTGGAACTCTCTCTGTAGACCAGGCTGGCCTTGAACTCACAGAGATCCACCTGACTCTACCTCCCGACTGCTGGGATTACATGTTGTGCTGCCACCACCTGATTTGATTATGTTTTTTAAAAAGACAAGAGATCCAAACTCAGGGAAGGACTAGTTAGCAACTTGAGACTCCCGCCTGTCCCTGGAGTGGCAGTAACATGGCTGCATGTTCTAGAACAAGACGGTGGTCTAAGGGTGGCCTAGGAGTGTGGCAACGGTGCCCTGAACATAGATGGGACTCGTGTTCCTCCAAACCTGCTCTGTGGTCAGCAAAGCCCAGAAAGCCCCTTGTCCTGTGGCCACAGTGACATGAGGGTGAGCCCACTGACAGCACCACTCGGGGTGCGAGGGAAATGGCATCGGAGTGCACAGCAAACACCAACCCTCAGGGTTATGTTCAGCCAAACAAGCCGAAACCAGGGGTTATACGCTGTGTGGTGCCATTTATAGAACATTCTAGAAACCACACAATTATAGAAATGGAGAGCAGATTAGCGGTTGCCAGGGTCAGGGTCAGGGCTGGGGTGGGAAGTGGGTTTGGTTAGGAATGGAATGTTTGGGTCTCCGTGGTGTTACTGTAGGGGTCCCGGTTGGGATAGTGTACTGTGGGTTTGTTGGATGTCATCGCTGGGGGAGGCCAGGGAAAGGGCACTGAAGGCTGTAATAATCTTGGAAGGGGTATTTCATTAAGGACTCTCTCTGCCCAGGACATGCTGAGAATCGCTGTAACACTGGGGCACAGAGGCATCTCAGAAACCATTGTATCCTGCCTGTCTCCTCCCCAGGCCTCAGTTTCCCCATTTGTGGTGAGGTGACTATTGAAACACACAGAACACAGCACTCACCTCCTGCAACTGCTCAGGGAATGTACCTGATCCTTCTGGGCTGTAGATCAGCCTTGCGACTCTGGAGGCCTGGCCTCAGGGTGTCCTTGGAATCTTCCTTCGGGCAAGGCTACTGAGTGGGTCCACTTCACGGCCTCTGCCTGCCCTCTGGACTCAGGTGTGCACTGCTGCAGAGACTTTTCAGGGTCCTGAGCTGCTAGCGAGACCTCAGCTGTGATTTGTCCTCTCTACAGCCATGGAGACGAGGAAGAGGGTGAGTTCCGGAGGAGGTCCCCATTCCCACAACTGTCATCAACAACGGGTCCACTCCCTGCTGGGGCCTTGTCTGCTTCTCAGAGCTGGGCCCTGGTCCTTGGAGTCAAATAGCCTCACAGGGCTGGGGAGACAGCTCAGTGGGTAAAGAGAGCAAGCACTAGAACTGGGGTTCAGGTCCCCAGAACCCACATTGAGCGAGCAAGGTGGCTGCCTTTAATCCTAGCAGCGGGGAGGTGAAGACAAAAGACCCCCTCTTGCCCACTGGCAGGCTGTCTGTCTAAGCAGCCTAATCTGTGAGCTCTGGGCTCCAAGAAAAGCCTTGACCCAGTAAACAAGGTAGAAGGTGGCTGAGGAAGAAACCTGGGCTTCTAACTTTGGGCTTCCACATATACATGCATACATATGCACACACGTACACACACATGCACAAACACTCCCTCCATTACCTTTCCAACATGCAGACACACACCTTAACAGACATGTATATGACACATGCATGCAAAAATATAAATAAACAAATAAACTTGCTGGGTGTTGGTGGTGCACACCTTTAATCCCAGCACTCGGGAGACAGAGGCAGGCAGATCTTCGTGAGTTCAAGCCCAGCCTAGTCTACAGAGCGAGTTTCAGGACAGCCAGAGCGACACAGAGAAACCCTGTTTTGAAAAACCCAAATAAATAAATAATAAAGTAAAATAAACACAACATCCCCCTCACTGTGAATGACATCCACATCCCCAGCCCCTTCTCTGTCCTCCAAGTTCCACCTGGAGGTACCACCCCTCTCCCCATTATGGAGATAATAAAACAGGGTAAGCAGGGGAGCTGGTGGGGAGGGAGACCCCCAGATCTCCAGGAAGCTGCTGGGGGATGGTTGTCTCTTCTCTAACTGTGGCTCCATCCACTAAGACCCCAATATCTCAGGACTCTGTGTGTGTGTGTGTGTGTGTGTGTGTGTGTGTGTGTGTGTGAGAGAGAGAGAGAGAGAGAGAGAGAGAGAGAGAGAGAGAGAAAGAAACTTAAATGCTGAGTCAGCAACTGCTGAGGCATCGGGCTCAGGCTCAAGTGGATTAAGGGCACCTCTGGATCCACCAGCTGACCAGAGCAGGCCCAGGTGGCTGGGGGTGCCATGGAGAGAGATGGAGATGGGGTCGCTCCCTCCCCTGGCCTGAGGCAGCAGTTGAGAGAGGCTGGAGGTGGTGGTGACAGTGGGAGCGGCTTCCTTTTCCGGTGATGGTATTTACTGAAAAGCAGCTCTGCTTTTAGCGTGGCAGAAGTTCATGGCCCCGGCCAGGCGCCTAAGCCAGCTTCTTCCCCAACCGCATTGAGGAGAGCCTCATGGCCGGTTTCTATTTGGTGTCGAAGGAAAACCAAATACCACAGTCCCTGCGGAGGGCAGGGGAAGGAGCCGAGGCCCAGGTGTCGCCAACCACAGTCCCAGCCTCGGTGGAGGAGGGGGCTCCTTGTTCTCAGTTACTGGAAAGACGGTGACTGGTTCAGAGCGAAACCTCCCTGACAATTCCTCTTTCTTTTACAAGAAATAGAAAGTGGTGGCCTCGCGAGCTAGGGGACTGGAGCCCAGGCCCAGGGTCCCCTGTCCCTGCTGCTTCCCCCCATTAGCCCCAGGGACCCCCACTAAGCAAGCAGCTGCCTCTATCCCATCCTTGAGAATCCACAGTGCCTAGGGATTTGACTGAGGTGTGGCACAGGGTCTATGGGGAGGGGCAGGTGGCCAGCAGGGTCAGGAGACTCCAGAGAACATCTCTGAAGGCTCCCACAGTGCCCAGCCTGCCCTCCTGCCCTATGCCTGCCCCATAGACACTTGTTCAATTTGTCTTGGGGGGGTATCAGAGTTCAATCCCACCTCAGCCATGTTGGGTCTCCGTGTCCTTGGGTAAGTGACTTTACCTTCCTAAGATTCTCCCTCCTACGATGAGGCAGTGATGGGAGAAGCCAGGTTGCTGCGGCCTTCCCCTGCTCAAGATACTTCCATGGCTCCCACCTTCTCGCCACCTGCCAGGCACTTTCCGGGAGTTCAGGTTTCCCTCCCTCCCCCATCTCTGCTATCGGGTCTCAGTTCCTCTGCTCAAACCCGCACTGGCTCAACTGTGTTTCTGCCATGGGTCGAGGTCACCCCTGCTTCAGGGCCTTTGCCTCAGCAGCCCTTCAGGTCGCTCCCTTCCTGAAGACACCCACCGGTCAGACTGCTGCTGTCTTTCCTAGCTGGCTTCCTACAGCCTTGATCTGGTTTCCCCAAGTCTGTGGGGGGCCACAAGCCGGTGGCCCCACTTGACATTACACTTTCTGGGGAGATTATTTCACATGCTTCCCTTGAGAGCTCTGAAGGGCAGAAGCCAGGGTTGTGCTTGGCACAGGTTCGCCAGGGTTTGTTGAACGAATGGACACGGCTTGTTTGATGAGGAAAGATGGGCATCGCTCAGCACAGGCAGGAAGCACCGGGGCATTCCCCTGCCTCCTCGCCTTGCCAAAGACAGTGTATGGGCTTAAGTCACATGGATAGGTGAGGCTGGCAGGGAGCCAAAGCTGCCGGTGCGTGGTGGTGAAGGCTCTAGTGTGAGCCTGTGAGAGCCCTGGCCTGTAAAATGAGGCGATGAGACATGCAGTACCTGGAGTCCAACAGAGAGGCGAGGACAAGGGTCCTCCTTCCTGCTCCATTGCCCACAGTCCTGCTATCACTTGTCCCGTGGAGAATAAGGACATTCTAAAGAGACACACGTCTGCTGGAGAGATGGTTCCGCAGTTAAGAGCACTGGCTGCTCTTCCATAGGGCCCGGGTTCAATTCCCAGCATATGACAGCTCACAACTGTCTGTAATTCCAGTTCCAAGGGATTCAATACTCTCACACAGACTTACTCACAGGCAAAATATCAATAAAATAAAAATAAATAAAGCTTAGAAAAAAAGAGAGAGGAGAGAGAGAGACACATCCTTGCACTTGCTGTCGGACAGTTGACACAATGGACCCCAGGAAACTGGAACCCCCATCTCCTTCTGAGAAAGGGGCAAGGTTTATTTCTCAGGAAGAGGTTTCCTCTCAGATCACCTTGTTGGGGAGGCTGGAGCCAGACAGAGATGGGTCAGTGAGGGACAGGGCCACACCATGGCAGGACAGCCCAGCTGTGCAGGCCTCTTGCCCTTGTCTGCTGAAACCTCACTCACGACAGGACCCTGAAAATGGGCTTGGGGGCTGGACAATCACTGCGTCTCCTCGTTTGTTCTTTCCTCACATGGCCAGCCACATTGAATAACTCTCCCTTCTGTGCCTCCTACGATGACTGTGTCTTTATCTGGCACGTGGGGACAGGCAGCTGAGCCCAGCTGGGCAGGGCTGACAGGGCCCAGGCTCTGACCCTAGCACCTTCACAAGAGTAACACCAAGTCCCAGTATGGAGGAAGGACCCAACTCCCAGAGAGGGGCTTTCTCTCTATGTTGCCTCTGGAAAGTTCTATCTCAGGAAGCGTGGGAGCTGATGGAGCTCGGAGACCAGGAGCCCTTATGCCCTCACACCACGGCACTCAGCCAGGTCTTGGGGAAGAGGGACTTTCCAGTGTGAGCCTCTTGGCCCCAGCAGGCCTGGCCTTGCCTCGGTTTCCTTGTGTGTTCTTCTCAGAGAAGTGAAGGCATCAGGTGGCTCTGTCCCATGGTGAGCCTGGCTTCTCCTGGGGTCTCCTCAGGCCCTGGCTGAATCTCAGGGTCTGGGCAGAACTGTCTGGGGTGGATGGGGCAGCACCTCTGCCCATCATCCCCGGGCAGAGCTGCCATCAGGTTGCTCCCAAAGCTGCTGAGACAAATGCAAGGAGATGCCAGGAGGAGCCGCTTTTCGGAGATTCAGTTTGGCCCTGAAACAAGTTTTTAAAAAGTGAATGAAGCTGGACGTGGCAGGGCAGGCCTTTAAACCCAACACTCCAGAGGCGGCAGAGGCAGAGGGATAGGGAGTCCGAGGCAGAGGGAGGCAGAGGCAGGTGGATCTCTGTGAGTTCCAGGGCTACACTCTGATGCCCTGTCTCTAAAAGGGGAGGGGAGGGGCAGAATCAGGTACCAGCAGCATTTGAAATACAGAAGAGTCACAACAGGGTCACAGGGTGAAGAGTGTCCCAGTGCCCTTGCAGAATGTCACTAATTGTCACTGTTCTGGTTACTCAGTTGCTAGCTGACCCCCCTCCCTCTTAAACTCCTTCTCAGGGTCTTGACGTTTGACTAGGAGTTCACTTGACAAAGATGAGTAGAAAAGGATTCTAGGAAACTGGAGCAGGACATGTCGGTGAGATTAATCTGTTCAAAAGGCAGCAAATCACGCACTGATGCTTACTGTAAGCACTGGGGAATCAAAAGGTCTCTGTCCCAGCCAGGGGTCCTCAGTAAGGCACCCAGGACACCCGACTGTGTCTGCAGACATGTGTGGCCGAAAGCCTGGGGGATGAGGGTGCTGTTGGTGTCTGGCAGGGCACTGGACAGTCACCATGGGGTAGGTGGAGGGCCTGTGCCTGAACTGATGCCGCCAGAGCCGACTGAGAAGGGAGTCGGAAAGTCAGGCCTCCGAGACTTTCTGATCAAAGGACTTGGTGGGAGGACGGCTCTAGAGCCAGCTGCCTAGGGAGAGGCCATCTGAGCCCCTGAGGGGTGCTCACACAACAGACCTCTCTGTCTGCCCCATCCCTATGTGCTGCTCAGGATCACAGATAACCTCTGTCTACACTCCAGAATACTGTTAGGGACCCAATAGCAGAGATGGTGGAGGGAGCGAAACCAGGCAAGAAGGTGGGAGCCATGGAAATATCTTGAGCAGGGGAAGGCCGCAACCTGGCTTCTCCCATCGCTGCCTCACCGTGTAGGAGCGAGCATCTTAGGAAGGTAAAGCCACCCAAGGACACACAGACACAACATGGCCGAGGTGAGATTGAACTCTGAGACTCCCCAAAGGCAAATTGAACAAGTGTCTATGGGGCAGGCATAGGTCAGGAGGCCAGGCTGGGCACTGGGGAGGCCTTCAGAGATGTTCTCTGGAGTCTCCTGGCCCTGCCGGATTTCCCAGGGGCTGATCCTGAACTCCAAGCCACTCTTGGCTGACCTCCCTGGGTGGCCTGGGACCATCAGAGGTGGTCTCTTGAATTGCCATCTGGCATTTAATCAGCAAATGTCTTACCAG